GGCCCTTAGTGCATGTCCACTTGGACATGCACTAAGGGCCCCGATTGTCCATGGCCTACGTGCTTGTGTGTCACCTATGCATACGGCCTAGGGCAATGCTGTGAGCCCGTGGCCTAGGGCAATGCTGTGAACCGTGGCCTACGGCAATGGTGTGAGCATGTGGCCTAGGGCAATGGTGTGAACCCGAGGCCTAGGGCAATGGTGTGAGCCCGTGGCCTAGGGCAATGGTGTGAGCCCGTGGCCTGCGGCAATGCTGTGAACCGTGGCCTAGGGCAATGGTGTGAGCATGTGGCCTAGGGCAATGGTGTGAACCCGAGGCCTAGGGCAATGGTGTGAGCCCGTGGCCTAGGGCAATGGTGTGAGCCCGTGGCCTGAGGCAATGGTGTGAGCCCGTGGCCTGCGGCAATGGTGTGAGCCCGTGGTCTACGGCAATGGTGTAAGCCCGTGGCCTATGGCAATGGTGTGAGGCCATGGCCTGAGGCAATACTATGAGCCTGTGGCTGGAACAGGCATTTTAAATGGAAGCGTTTCAAGGTTTAAAGCTCTCGCCCTGTCCCAGAGGTGGGAATACAAAATATCCATAGTGTGCCCCTCTGAGCGCTGCGCTGGGACGCTAGTGAAGGTCCAGCCTTGGCCTCCCGTAGCCCCTCCCCTCTGTGCTGACAGAACCCAGTTTCCCGCCGCCCCTGTGACCTGCAGGCCAAGGAGAGCTGTGGCCCTGGGGCTATTCGGCGGGGGACTCACCTTGCCAATGACGTCGTTCCGGCTCAGCCTGTCCTTATCCATGACGGTGATGATGATTGTCGTCTCTCGCAGCTTCTCGGTGGGGATGTCAAAGATGAAGGACTCATTGAAGACTGGGTTCAGGCACCGCTTCATTACCACCGTCTTCTTCTTCTCCACCCTCTTGTCCTTGTACATCAGCCACACCTTGACGTAAGGGTCTGCCACGGAGAGGAGAGGGCACATTGCTCTTAGGCCAGGCCAGGGCTCCTCCCCCTTCTGCTTCTTAACTTGGCCTGTCCTCAGATTTCCTGCCTCTCATGCCAGGGCCCTCTCTTTCAGCTGGGAGCCTGCAGCCTCCTGCTCAGTGCTCCCATTTTTGCTGCAGGATGTACTGGGGAGCTGAGACAGGTCAGGGGGACTCTTGAGTTCCTCCCAGTGTGGGACAGAAGAGACTCAGAGCTGACCGTTCCCTGTGGAAGACAAAGGAGGACTCTCTCCCTGGTGTGGGACAGAGGTACTCCGGACAAGTTCCTCCTTGAGGAGAGGCAGAGGGGACCTAAGGTGAGGAAGAATAGATTGCAGTTACCCTGCATCTTAGTATGCTGGGGCGAATGGCCCCTGCCAGGACCCCTAGCTCAATACAGAAGAAGGGCCCCGATTGCCAGTACCTGACGTCCCCCCGATGTCCATGGCTTTCAGATTCCGTGCTTTGATGATATTCACAACGATGGAGTTACCAGAAGGGTTGTAGCAAAGGGACAGGAGGAGTTCTCCCCGACTTCCCTGCAGAGAGGAGAGGTTGTTATAGACTGGCAGACACCAGCTAGCCTAGCTCAACCAGAGCACCTCGGCGGCCCCGTCCCCACAGAAACCACCTTCAAACGTATTTATGGCTGTAACATGCTTTGCTTCTCCCCCACATCCAAAGAAGCTGGCTGTCTAGGGGTGGGACAGAATCTGTAGCATGGCTTCAGCTAGCTCCATTATTGGAAACAAATTCACATCCACAGGGATCAGTGAAAGTATCCCACAGCTGGTGCCAGCCCACGTGTTTGCAGTTGGCTCTAAACCATGGCCGAGAACTGTTTTCTGCTAGCAGAGTGTCTCCTACAGGATGCAGAAGGACTTAAACCCCTTCTCAGCTGACAGCGGGTAAGACCCCTAGGCCTTCAGATTCTGGATAAAGAGCAGATGTAGTCCTCAGGTCTGTCAATACTTCCCCTTTTACCGGTACCAGATTAATGGGGTACCGGTAAAAGGGTGGGGGTTTGGGGATGTCTTCTCTGGGACCCTTGCTGCAGCAGCTCCAGGATGTCCCCTGGGAGCACTAGGCTGTTCTAGTCACTGAGGCCAGCTAATAGCCACGTACACTAAGCCAGGGCATTACATGCTGGCTAAGCCTCTCTCCGAACACAAAGCAAAGGTCTTACGCTCCCATCACTGCAGGGTTTCAGCTCCTTCCAGAATGTCTGCATCTGGGTCAGGTCCAACTTGTTGAGTGGAATGGACACCTCTCCGATGGGGTCATTGCGACTGAAGCGGTCATAGTCCAGAACCTGGAGATACAGCACCCGCTGCACCACCTTCTCGTATGGGAAACCTGCCAAGGAGACCAGAGCAGGAGGTGGTTACCCAGGAACGTGGCAACACAGCCAAGTCTGGCAGAGCCATTCCAGAGCCATACACATACATAAACCCAGGTGGCATTCATGCAAAAGAGACCATCGCTGGCATGTGTCTCTCTAGCCAGTTCTGGCTGGTGTATGATGCTGGGATCAAACAGTCAGTGGAGAAGGGGCACTGGGTGGAGGGAGACACACTTTTCAGTAATTTTATGGCCTCTACTAATATCTGTGGTTACGAGTAATCAACCCTCATACTTCATGACACCAGTTGGCCACTGCCAGGGTCAGGAAGGAATCCCATCCTTCACGAACATCATTCCACAATTGGCTGGGTGCATCGCCCAGAGGTGGAGGTGTTTGTATCTTTCTGTGAATGATCAGGTATTGACTGTTCACCAGAGGCTGGACCCAGATCGATGGTGTGATCTGATACGGCAGGAGGTCAGAACCCAAGGGTGTGATCTGATAGGGCAGGAGGCAGGACGGTCTGATATGGTTTAGCAGAAGCGGAGATAGTGGATCAGGTAGACCAAAGATGTGGCACACAAGGTGGGACACAGGGCTAGTGTGACCAGCGGTTCAATACGGGGAGGCAGGAGAGGGGATCACGGAGCTGATTGTCCATTGGGGTGGCTGTGGGGGGTAGGTCACAGAATCCCACGCTGGAAGGACCAGGAGGCAGGTCCAGATTGGCCAGACAGGCCAGTGGCTCAAGGTGGGGAGGTAGGAAAGGGTGTACTGCTGCTGACTGACCACAGTGTGATCCAGCATGGTGGGGAGAACCAGTACTGGATTTACCATGGCGCCACGGTGCCAGGCCCACGGTCCAAAGGGGCCCCGGCCCTGCCGGCTCTTCTCTGCCTCCCCCTCCCTCACATGGGGGCAGAAGCTTAGTGCTGCCGGCTCCTGCTGCAACAGGGCAGGCTCTGCTGGCAGCCAAGCTCCTCCCCCGCCTCTTTCCCCAGAGTGCTACGTTCCCTCCCGCCCTCCCTGCTGCCGATCAGCTAGATCAGCTGTTTGCCAGCAGGAGGAGGGAGGAGGAGGAGCGGAGCCTCAGCACGCTCGCTGCTCTGGGGAGGAGGAGGAGAAAAGGCGGGGGTGGGACCTTGGGGAAGGGGCTGGAATCAGGGCATACCCCCTCCAGCCCCCTGCTGTGAGCACCCACACGACCCCAGCCCACACCCACAGTCCTCTGCCCACCCTGACCCCTGCATCCCCTTCACACCTCCCCAGCCCCCTGCCCTGACCCCTGCACCCCCTTCACACCTCCCCAGCCCCCTGCCCTGACTCCTGCACCCCCCACACATCCAGCCCCCTGCACCCCCACACACCCAGCCCCTGCCC